ATCAGATAGAAATCTTCATAGCTGTGACTACTGTATACATTTTGTACCCATACCAACACAAGAAGGAATAAGTGTTTTTCTAAATGAAGGTGATATTGCATATTAAGAGGACAAGACTGAACTCTATCAAGAACCCCCATCAAGAACACTGTAATTCAAACAAAATGTTTTTGGCACAAATGTTCTGAAACAATAATTGCCAGGCATTATCGAGAAGATGTTCTTGTTTTAAATAAAAACATAAACATGCATGCAAAACATCTGACATGCAGCATACAAACAGGATGCTATATGACAATGTCATAGCTACTGTGCCTTACCATAAATCCTCTAGCTATTGATATAGGGGGGGGGGGGTGTAATACATTTCAGTTTTAGAAAGGTGGGTGAGGCCGTGGGGACTTACATCTATTTTAGAGGGGGGAAATAGGGGATTTATGGCAGATGGAATAATAGAAGGGTTGTTGCCTAGTCAACATTTGATTTCACTATTGTATGCTGGATACACTTCTTACTAGAATATCGTGGTATAAAATAATATAATGTACAATGTCAGCTAGTGTTAATAATTTAATTAATGGCAGTTCTGAGTTGTCAGATCTCAAGACATATATTCCAAGACAAATTCCAATATATCATCAGACAAATCTTGTGATATTGAAGCTCATTTTCAACTTCAGAATGCTAAAAGATACTACCATGCATTGCTTTTAATAAAAAAATAATATAGTAACTACAAAGATTATACAGTTGTCATCTTTATTACTTCCTGAGGTGTAACTTCATGTACTGTGGGTGTATATCACAAAATCGTAAGAGTTCCAAGGCAACTCAACTGTCATGATAATGACTATATACCTCATGCTACTATGTTTCAGCCTACAGTATGAAAGTTTTCCAATACTAAAATAAAACTTTGCATGCATATACAAAAATTTATCTAGCTTGAAAGTTCGATAATTTTATACAACAATCATGCTATGTGAAATGACATACAATGTTATAAAGATTTATATTCAGACATCTGGTTATAGATTACAAACAATTGTATATAGTAAAATAAATGTAGAAATAAAAATAAAGTTATGAAGCCGTCTTGAATAATAGCGCATCAATAAAAATATTAACAGTAAATTGTAGTTATGGTTTCAAATCTCTTGACTTTCTTTGCCGGGGACGAATATTCGATCAGATCTGATAAATAAATATTAAATACATAGTCAGCATATAAATCCAATGCAATAGAATCCCAGCATAGAATTTCTGACCAAAATTACTATTTAACAATTACAGTTAAAACCCAAGTATAAACAAAACATTTACCTGAATATAAAAGACATCGTAGCAGACAACAGCACATGTCGATTTGATCACAGCGTGCTGCACTGAATATCGCACAAACGCACTTTTAGGGCAGCTTTGTTGGCATAATATTCTTTCCGTGTTCTCTTGTTGTTTTATGTTTCAATAATTTACTAATAGGTGGATTTGGTTTCATAAAAGTCGCAAATTTGTTGAAACCTTTTCGAATTCTATATAAATATTTTACATTCACTCCTCATCACCTCATGTGGAATATAAACATCGCGCGTGTATATCGCCAATTATGGGACTGGAAACGAGAGATTCATTTCCGGTGGAGTCCCCTGTAAACAAACGCCGGGCACATGCGCAGAAGGGACTTATCCCCCTCTTTAAGATACAAGCATACAGCATTATTAGAACTCAATCAAAGACTCAAAGCACATCATGTAATTAGGCAATGCGTTTATATGCCGTTAATGCCAGTACTAGTTGCATGCTAATGGCGAATACAGAGGCCCCAATACAGTGCGCTCTCTTTGTTGACAAATTTAGCTTCGAAATATTTATCCTATATTCTTATGATACATAGTTTATAGTGAAAGTTAGTTCAGTAGGTTTTTGTGTAACAGAGAGTAAAGGAGCGCAGCATATCGAACTCGGCGTTACATTAAGCCTGGTTCACATATATGCCTGCGACGATGCTGGCGGTATCGTTAAAACGTAAATTTGTGAACAATTTGTTCGCCGATTGCCTCCAATGCCACAGTTATATCGGCGGTAGACCGGGAAAGTTGACTTGAGCTCAACTTTGCCGGTATTTCGGCGGCAAGTATAGAGGCATAATGATACAGTCACAGCCATAGACCGTCCTTCATAATTCCATTTTAATATTCGCTACGGCCCACAGCAAGTCTAGTTTCCTTTAAAAAATCTCTGCTATGCCTATGGGCATATTCTTAAATTATTCTTAAATTTTTGTTAATTTCAGTCTAATATTCCTATAAGCGTGATTCCTATAAAAGGAAGAGTGTATACCCACAAAACGGACATACGTATAGGCCGTGGGCCGCTTTGCGAAAAAGTGCTTAGAAAAGCAATTTCGTGGCAACCCCCTGGGGAATAGATTTTCTGTGGTTAAATTCGTAGTACCATAGATGCTCAATTACCACAAAAAGTTCCCAAGCAAAAAACTTGCCAAACACCGAGAAAATGGGCGATCCGTGATTATCCTCTATTAAATTGTATTACAGCAAGAAATTATGAAATTTTGTATTCAATTACAGCAAAAATGACTTGCATCATCAGAAAGCGTACAAAAACCTACATATAAGACATTTAAACAGGTTTTTTTATATCTCAAATTGTTTTTAAGTTATACACTGTCAAAAAGGCGTTTTTGATCTAGTACCCAGTCCTTATTGCGACATTTTGGTCCAATTTTCACATTTAAAACAGCAATAACTCAAAGACTTTTTGAAGGATCAAAAAACTGTTTAAAAGTCTTATATGCGGTTTTTTGTTAGCTTTCTGATCATGTAAGTCATGTAAGTTTGTTGTAATGGACCATTCCCCAATTAACCAAAATTTTGAACTCAACAAGTCTGGACAAAAATTTCATCACAGCTTGAAAGAGCATCACAGAATTAGTAATATTCCATAGTTTCGTTGCAAAATGTTGTAAAATGTGGATAATATAGCCTTGCGCAGTTTGCAATTTTCAGTCATTTTAGATTACAAACGGGAAATGGTTACCACTTCTGTGCGTAATACAAAATGACTGAAAATTACAAACTTCGCAAGGCTATATTATCCGCATTTTACAACATTTTGCAACGAAACTTTGGAATATTACTAATTTTGTGATGCTCTTTCAAGCTGTGATGAAATTTTTGCTTAAGCTAGTTAAGATCAGAATTTTGGAAAAGTGGTAACCATTTCCCGTTTGTAATCTAAAATGACTGAAAATTGCAAATTTCGCAATGCTATATTATTCGCATTTTACAACATTTCACTAACGAAACTTTGGAATATTACTAATTTTGTGATGCTCTTTCATGCTATGATGGAATTTTGTCTAGACTTGTTGAGATCAAAATTTTGGTTAATTGGGGAATGGTCCATTGAATACAAAATTTCACATTTTCTTGCTGTAATACAATTTAAAAGAGGATAATCATTGATCACTCATTTTCTCGGTGTTTGGCAAGTTTTTTGCTTGAGAAATTTTTGTGCTAATCGAGAATATATGGTACTATGCATTGAACCACAGAAAATCTATTCAGCCCCAGGGGGTTGCCACGAAGCGAAATAATTTTGGCCAACGGCGCACGGCCTAGTACTTTGCATGGGTATTTGTTTTGGTTTGTGGGAAACACCACGTATACTGTATATACTTATTATTTATTGGAGTATTGTAATCATTACAGACTTGGTTTTAGGCGACGAGAACCTGCATGACAGAATGGACAGAGAGAAAAAGCGACCACCTACCTTAGGTCTGAAGCAGGCTACCAAAGGGAAGGACACACAATGGTATAAGGGAAGGTTGTGTCCAATTAGAAAGCAGAATGCGTGGTTTATAAAACCAAAGGAAGAACTCCCAAATGGCTATTGCAAATCAAAAGATGTGTTTATGTATCCAAATTACATATCTCAATATGTTCTACCCGTGATGGAGGGTGATATGTTGGAATTCATCTTAGGAGATCGAGACAAGACGAAACCTATGGCACAGAAAGTGCGTGTATCTCAGTATACACCTCGAACTTGTAAGGAATTAACTGAGTATATGAGAAAGCTGAATGAGGATTTGGATTGTGCTAATTTTCAAAAAGTGCTTGTGCAGGTATTACCATGTACAGCAATGTGGAGGTTTCTTGGATCGCCCATGTTTAAAGCCGTGCAAGGTTTGTAGGTGTAATAATTTATTAAATCTTTATTTATCTATCTATCCATCCATTTAGTTAGGTGGCTTAAATGGCCTATTTTACAAAAGAATTTTTTTTTTACACCATCACACACACAATAGTTCACTTGATACAGAAATTATAACTAGCAGAAAATTGAGGATATCTACTCTGCATCATAAATGAGCATGCACAATTGCATTGTCGCGGAATTAAACGTACAATTTCGCATGATGTGTAAGTCGTAGGCCATTCCATTTAATACCTACACCCACGTGGACGAAATTTTCCGAGTGGGTAGAAAATTCCACGTTTCTGAAGGGTCCCCAAATTCTGGGACAATTGAAAAATTTCTGAAGTGGTCAAGAAAACTTTTACGATTTCCAAAGGGGTCACTAACGATTCAGGGAAATTTCCGGGGGGTCGTGGAAAGAAATGGAAAGATTTCTGAAGGGGGTTTCTTGCCATGGATCCTCGTTAACAGGTGTTTCCAAGGGGGTTGAGATTCCTGAAGGGCATTGGCAAAAACCGTTTCTGAAGAGGTCTAAAATAACAGGTCTCGTCCACAGGGGTGTATGCAAGGTACGATATATCATTTTGCTGCTTTTTCGCGAATTCTTTAAGCCAGTGGATTCATGTACATGCATTCTGCTGTATGTATAGATACTCTAATATTTGCCATTTTTCTTTCAAAATAATATTTTTCTTTAAATGAAAAAAATATAGGCAAAATCCCAAAAATCCCGCAGGAGGAAGCTTTCAAAGCAATTAAATTTGGGCAACCTCGTACCCAGCCTCTCTTTCCACTACGCGCCTCCCTAGCGAGGCGCGTAGTGGAAAGAGCCTAATTTGGGCTCCTAGCAAAAATTCAAAGTTGATAATCAGTTGAAGATCTGAGAAAAGCTTAATGCTTTTATCCACTCTGTAAGTATTAGTATAGATATATAATTATCACTTATTTACTGAGACCGAGGGAAACAGTGTGTTTTGTGGACCCGAGACCGATCAAGGGGCCACAAAACACACTGCTTTCCCGAGGTCTCGGTAAATAAGTGTTTTGTTATATAGTATATAGCTAAGTGTCAAAATATGAATAATTCACCGGTTATTCGAGTGAACTTAATTTGAAACCAAAACGCCGGTTCATGGAACGCCGTAAATGTTTAGTAAAAAGTTTTAAAAATGAACTTTGGAACTTCATGGTTGACACGCATGCGTGTTGCACCCATTTTATTATTGACCGGTCAATAAATGTTTGATTGCGGACCGGTTGCAAAACATAACGTTTTGTGGACCGGCACTTGACACGGTTTTGACCAATCGGCAAACAGAAAAATTGAACTTTGACACTAACTATATAACAATACCAGATAATATTAATTTGAGTACTAGACAATGCTATTGTATTATCTTATTAGTTAGCCTATTTGATAATTATAATAGTATGTGATTACTTGTTGGATTATCTATTAGTTATTTGGATAATCTATTAATTATCTATTATTAGCTATCAGCTGTCAGGTGGCTTGATTCAACTATTACAATATCTAATTACCTAATTTTTTTGTGTGTTGGTGTAATGTACTCAGGTGAATTAATATGATGCTTGTGATATTACTCTGAGCGTGTATATCCACACCGGGCAGGTGTGGATATAAAAAAAATTATGATTACAAGATTACATCGATATCCGGAAGGAACTAGACTCAGTTCCGAAATATCACATACTCGAACCGACCTGACCGCGTAGCTCAGTTGGCAGAGCATTGGGCTAGTATTCCAAAGGTCGTAGGTTCGATTCCCACCGTGGCCAGGTATATTTTTCAAGCCTGCCCGGTGTGGATATACACTCAGAGTAACATCACAAGCATCATCTAATTACCTGTTGTATTGTCTATTATATTGCTTATTTATAGTATATATATATATATATATATATATATATATATATATATATATATATATATATATATATATATATATATATATATATATATATATATATACTTAGTTATTAATGTACTTATATTAATTCATTAAACAGGCAGCCGGGCTGGGCGCGCTTGATTACCCATTGCATTATGAACTTCATGGCACTCGGAGACTGCATACCTCCACCAGCCAATTATGCTGTGTATCATGCATACATAATAAAGTGGGCTAATTACGCATTCAGTTTATTCTGCAGACCGGTAAAGAAAGACAAATTTTGCTAATTTCTCATCCAATTTCCATCCAAATGTACCCATAATTTAATCAACTTGTCCTTGGACAATGCCCATTAGTCCCCCATTAAGTTATCGTGCTGCCAGGCACACACACACACACACACACACACACACACACACGCAGAGAAAAACGCAACCTCGTGGTGGAGGTAGCAACACCAAACCGCGTATACCGATTCTAATATTAAGTGCACAAACCACTTGTGCTATACAAACACCCCGTTGACGTGTACTACAGTGTTAGGATTTGATTCCGGATAGCTTTTAATTTTGCTCTTACAGATGAAGAAGATACCAGAATGACGTACGTTGAGCTTCTCTTGAGTCTATTTAAGCTAATTTTACATCATGGAAGACCTTATAAGACACTTTTACAAGATGTCATAAAGACATTCACGCGAGGAACAATATTTCAAACTACAAAAGATCAAAGCCTTCCCAAGATTATCAAGTCTTGCAATTATGGAAAAAATGACAAGTTCTACACTGAGGAAGAGGACGCATTCTTATCCGCAGAGCTCGTTAGAAGTTTTTGCCAAGATGCTATTCGTCAGGTTCCGTCTGTCACTCATTGCCTTTTGCCTACAGTTGCTGCAATCAGCGAGAAGATATCAAGCTCCTCAACACAGAGTTTTTTATACACTCTGTTATCGCTCAATTCTGCAGGAGAAAATGAGTTCATTGCTAATGCAAGTACATGGATGGGATTACCTTTAATACCAACTGGCCATGAACTAGCCGGACATTTGGTTGAAAAAGACAAAAACCTGATGCCTGTGAGAACTCGCATTCCCTACGACGACCCGGAACAGTATATGGATACGTACTTCCGACTGGCCCGTGCCGAAACCTTTTCAGCAATGCAGCATGGAATAAAAGATCTCAAGGCTTCCACACTGGATCTAAGAGATATGAATGTTTATTATAACATCCACCTTGCTGGCTTCGGACTACAAAGTGGTCGGTTCTCGTTGGCAATTCATTTTACACCCACTAAGGAGGTCAAGAAATGGGAAACTTCACCTCAACTCATGTATGGTAACTTGGTGTGCGTTTCCATTAACGGAAAGTTTGATGACGTCATTTGGGCAACGGTGTCCAATAGGGATACACAATTACTGAACGAACGTCAGATAATTATGTTGGAATTGTTGGATGAGAATAACAAGACCATGAGCGAAATTATAAACTTGCTACAGACCCAAGGAGGTATTTACAAGTATTTGCACATAGAATATGGTTAGTGGCTTAGTGCATGCTTACACCTCTGTGACTTACGCCCGTATTCTAAAAGTTCACTCACACTTAATGAGTGGAAATTCAATTTGAGTTTCTCTCGAGTATCATTGCTGTTTTTGAACAGCTCGAGGGTTAGCTTACTATAACAAGATACCTTACTATAACAGCATAGAGAAGCTCAGATTGAACTTCCTCTCACTGAGTGTGAGTGCGAGTGAGCTTTTAGAATACAGGCGTTAGATTCGATTCCTGCGACATGCAGTTGTATGGCATAATTTCACCTGAACCAAGTGGGAGAAGAGATTAGTTTGACTATACTAAACACTCCAGTTTTTATCCGGGTACTCCGGTTTTATCCGAACACTCTGGTTTTTCGAAGGCCCCTTCTGCCTTTGTAGCTGAATGGGTCACCCTGCCTAAATAATAGTAACACCGCAGGACCATCGATTAACCTCACAGGACATCTAAGTAGAATATTCTACAACGAGCAAGGTTAACTAGCTAGAGAAAGTAAAGCTGAAATTTTAGATTGGGCAGATTTTTGTGTTGTTATTGCTCTTGTAATGCCTATGCAAGCTGAGATTGTGTTGTATAGTATTACAAATTCATTTTTGGGTATAAACGTTAGGGGTTCTAACATTATTTCGCCTTTCAAAGGTTCAGCAGTCATGGTAGAATCACCGACCTATTACCACTCGCTAAGTCCTGTCCTACGAAGTTTAAAAGAATTCGACATGGAAAACTTTCCACTTCAAGCAGATGTTATCTACGCTAAACCTGCGCGGGAACTACCAGATTATTTAAAAGAAGCCACATTTGAAACGTCAATAGTTTGCTGGTCCAAAAAGACAAACAGTGCCGCTGAAAAAAAGCAAGGATATAAGCTTGAAGAAGGAAAGGATTCCAGCAATACAGTAGAAGCAAGTGAAAGAGAGGATATTGAAGAATTTGAAGCGATTGACACGCAGTCAATTGACTCGTCTTGTGGAATTGATTTGGATAGGGAGTTTTATCGAGATTCTTTCCCTGACGAAGAGAAAAATGCTGAACACAGTTTACCTGAATACGACGAGGACGAACAACTGAGTGAATATGACGAGGACGAACAACTGAACGAATACGATGAGGACGAAGAACTGAGTAAATATGACGAGGACGAACAACTGAGTGAATATGACGAGGACGAACAACTGAATGAATACGACGAGGACGAACAACTGAGTGAATATGACGAGGACGAACAACTGAGTGAATATGGCGAAGACGAACAACTGAATGAATATGACGAGGACGAACAACTGGGTAAATATGACGAGGACCAACAATTGAATGAATATGACGACGACAAACAACTGGATGAGTATGACGAGGACCGTGAACAGCTGGGTGAATATAACGAGGATGGCCAACTCGGTGAATATGACGACGACGAACAACTTAGTGAATATGACGAGGAGGTACAAAGTGAAGGTGACAAGGCGTCAACAAGCAGTGATGATGATATGGAAGTTGAGCCCACCAGTACAAGTACCTCAAATTCATCACAAGACACGTCCTCGCAGGAAAGACTTGGAAGAAGAATGAATGTTGAAAGATTCTTAGAAATTTTTGACTCCAGCTCGGAGTCCTCTTTGGAAGCAAGTCAATGTGAAGCACTTGTTCATGCTCTGAAGAATAGATTGGCAGTTATTCAAGGTGAGCAGGTGATCTTAATGCCACATATGTTAATATCCTTAAGTTTTTTTGTTTCTAAATAGCTATCATTCCCAACGTCTTCACCAGATCCTACATTTGTTGGTAAAAAAAGTCCTCCAAGTACCGTGCCAGGCGTCTTCACTTGAAAACGCGAGTGTGTTTTCAGGTAGTGCATTTATTGGACCCTTGTGTTCAAATCTCTGAGTAGGTCTGTTTTCTGTTCCCTAGGTCCACCGGGTTGTGGTAAAACATTCATCGGAGTTAAAATCGCACAACTGTTGTTATCGCTTTCTCCGAAGCTTGGGAAACCAATTTTACTGTTGACGTACAAGAACCATGCCCTTGACGAGTTCCTGAAGCACATGATGGGATTTTGCCAGAAAAATGAGATTGTTAGGATTGGAGGAAGATCGAAGGAGCCAGAGTTGGAAGAATGTAATCTGAAAAATATTCAAAATTTAGTGTTGTATGAGAAAGCTACACGCGCCGAGATTCAAAACACAAGAACTGAAATCATCGATATCGAATCAAAAATTAAGAAGATTTCAGCAGAAGTCGAAGCTAGTTCCTACCTGACACGAAGGAGTTTAGTGGACGAACTGGAGGAGGAACAGCTGCAAAATTTGATTGTTGAAGCTGGTTGGGGAAGTGGGCCGATGATTTACAGATTGGGTAAGAAGAACGCAGACAAAACATGGATCAAGAAAATGTTGAACAATGCTTCTCATATTTATGGTTCGGTTAAAGAATTTCTTCAGATAGCTTTGCAAACCAAACTGTCGAAGACTGACCATGTTGGTATTCAGTGTATCACCATTTTTCATAAAGCGTTTCAGCATTGGTTTCCTGACCTTAAAGAACTTCAAAGAATGAAGGAATTTCAAGCCGAGTTTATCTTGCAGATCCAAAGCGAGACAACAACTGACGAAGACGTGCCGAAAGGATCGGAAGACAGTAATGATGACGATGATAGTGGAGATGAAGATTATGTGAAGCAATTACAGGAAACAAGAATGGCTGTAGGAGCAAGACAAAGATTCCAGTCTGATGATATGATACTTTTCAATCCCACTAACACCGACAACCGAAATGATATTTTAGTTAAAATATCTGACTATCCTCCCGACATGGTAGTAAGTTCGCAAATTCGCTGCGTGAACAATCTTTACCGAAAAGACAGGAATAATGACTTACGTGGGGGCGGAATTTGTACCTTTATACGTGCTAACCTTTACGTCCTTGAAGTATGCGACTTGGGCGATCCGGAAGTTGAAAGCCAATGGTTCGTGTTAAAAACTGATCGGTTACCCAGAGGAATTAACTCTATTCTACTAGGAATTATTTATCATCCCCCACGTAACGACGACCGGCACCTTAGGTCCCACATCTTTAAATGCTTGGACCAACTCCTAACAACTTACCCGAACTCTGGCATTCTAGTTCTAGGAGACTTTAATCAGTTCCATCCAGGTAACCTCTGTTGTTCCTTTAAATTAAGAAAACTCGTTACAGAACCAACTAGGGGAAAGAATATCCTTGACCAAGCCTACACCAACTTGACGTCCTATTACAACTCTGTCATCTTACCTCCTATTGGCTCATCTGATCATCGTAGTATTTTATTGCAACCATCGTGTAGAGAAAACCCCAGCGCTCCAACTATTAGAATCCAACAACGTGAATGCAAGGCTTCAAACAAACGTGTTTTGATTTCAACACTAGACCATATAAACTGGACGCCAATTTATAGACTTAACTCATGCGAAGAACAACTCGATGTCTTTCAGAGTACGATTTCAAACGCCATCAATTTTTGCCTTCCAATGCGTTCCGTTAAAACCTACACCCGTGATAAACCATGGATTACTCAAGATATCAAAGGCTGCATCAAAAAGCGCCAACTCGCCTGGGTAAGAAACGACACCAAACAATACAAAATTTACCGAAATAAGACCGCAAAACTCTGTAAAATTGCTCGTAAACGTTTTTACCAAAACAAAATCCGACACACGCAAGATATTAATCCTAAAAAGTGGTGGGACAACATAAAAATGCTCTTCCGCTTATCAAAACAGCAACCTCCAATGAGCATGCTTGTAAATGGTTCCGTACTCAAGGATAAACAACTAGCCGAGGCCATTAGTGATTCCTTCTATCGAGTCTCTAGCGATATTCCTACCCTACATTTCCAACCGATCCCAGTCACTTGTATCCCAGAGTTGTACATAATTTCTCCCGAAGCTGTGGAGGCTCGTCTATCCTGCATTAACGAGCGTAAGGCAACTGGCCCAGACGAAATTCCGAATTGGCTGCTGAAAAGTTGCGCAGTTAATTTAAGTCAGCCAGTTTGTTCCATTTTTAACGCGTCGATTAGGAATGGCGAAGTCCCTAAACTATGGAAATCAGCAGATGTATTGCCACTTGGAAAGATCACTCAACCAAAATCTATCGAATCTGATCTCAGACCGATTTCTTTAACTACTGTTCTAAGCAAAATTCTCGAAAGTTTTGTGTTTAGTTGGCTTGCCCCTATTGTAATGCCACATATCGATCCATACCAGTTTGGAAGTGTCAAAAGATCGTCTACTACACATGCCCTTGTACACTTAGTTCATTATTGGCTTTCTGCCCTGGAAGCACCAAACACGATGATCAGAACTTGTTTAATCGATTTTGCAAAAGCCTTCGATCGAATTGATCACAACATTCTCATGCATAAACTATTGATCCTTGGGGTCCCTCCGGTGCTTTTAAACTGGTGCTCGAGCTTTCTCCAAGAAAGACAACAACGTGTTAAAGTGGGAACTCACAAATCAAGTTGGAAACAAATCGCAGCTGGGGTGCCTCAGGGAACCAAATTAGGCCCTTTGTTTTTTCTTATTATGGTGAACGATCTGAGATGTAATGCACCATTGTACAAATATGTTGACGACTGTGCGGTTACTGAAATCATTAAATCATTTGACTTGCAGTCATCCAGTTTACAACGTGAGATCGACTACATAAATCAATGGTCGGTTAAGAATAATATGAAATTAAATGTCACAAAAACTAAAGAATTCAATATATCTCTGTCTAGCGCCCCACATTCGTTCCCTGCTTTATCTATAGACAATCAACATCTCGAAGTTGTCCACACTGTTAAGCTTCTGGGAGTGTACTTGTCTGCTGATTTAAAGTGGACGACGCATATTGACCACATATGTTCCAAAGCCAGTAAACGTCTATTTGTAATTCGAATATTGAAACGAAACGGCGTTGAAGTGTGGGATCTTAGAAATGTATACTGTAGTTTCATACGACCTGTGCTAGAGTATGCCTGCCCCGTGTGGCATTTTTCATTGCCTGTATTTTTGTGCGACCAAATTGAACAAATTCAACGCCGGGCTCTGAAAATTATCTATCCTGATTTATCGTATAAAGACGGTTTGAACGAACTCAATCTGCCCACTCTTGTTGATCGGAGGGTTTCCTTGTGTGAACGGTTTTACGAGAACAGTTTTGGCACTACAAGTAAAACTTCTGACCTTTTACCTAGAAAGAAATCTTATTCATATAACCTTAGAAATGCTAGAAACATTCCACTTTTTAAAACACGTACAAGTAGATTTTATGACAGTTTTTTACCAACCTGCGTACGGAAATGGGACTTGCCTTGAACTATTCCAATTTAATAACTTAACACAATAATGCATAAATTTGTATTGTACATATATTTTTATATATTCTAATCTAACTATTTTATTTTAATATTTGTTACTTGAGTTTTTCAGTTTCTTTGTAAACTGCCATTCAAGTTTTTAATAAATTCAATTCAAATTCAATTCAATTCAATTCAATCCTGTCTCATATCTCATCCTGGCAAAGCGGGATCATAAGGCGTAAAAAAATACCTGTGGTTCGTTTCATATCGTGAAAAAATTAGGGTCGGTAGGTCGGAAATAATTTTTTTTTGAATATTTTTTTCATGGTTTTGGCGTTTTTTTGCTGGGCGATTTGCAGTAAAGTGCCGACATCAATATTAACTAGAGATGCGTATTTCCTATGGACAAATTTAGGCAATTTGGTTCAATAATTAGTGTGACAACAGACGTCATTTTGGCACGCTGTATGAGCAGCCCGAAACCACCTGGAGAAAATAGGGTCGCACGGTCAATCGCGTTGAAAAAATAATAGAGTCGGCAGAAAAAAATAGGGTCGGTCGGGAACCGGAATCACAGGTATTTTTTTACGCCTAAGAACAGCCCCTTATTCAACAAATTGTGCATGCTGCCTTTGATCCCTTGGGGGTGAGGCAGCACTTTCCTTGCGATAGTAACTTCTAGTACTATACGTTCTCGGCATCGATTCGCGGAATAGAAGTAAAAAAGCCTTTATAGTTTGTTTTCTTGTAATAAATAGTCACTACCACGCATGCTCGAATAACTCATTATAATTTCAGCCCTGGGTTGAAACGATTACATGACAAAATTTTCGACCCAGGGCTGAGTTCAACCCCGGGGTTGAAATTTCAACCCCGGGGTTGAAATTTCAACCCCGGGGTTGAAAATGCTCCATGTAATCGGCCCCTTAGAATGGTAAAATGTACTAGGATGTGTAAAAGAATTTATGGGAGTTCTAATCTCCTTTTATGAGAGCTGTGGATCTAAGGCAAATTATTCCACATGTACTGAGGCACTTTGCGTGCTCCAAGGGAATAAACTATAAAGTACAGTATTATTATATACTAGAGTATTTATTAACATGCGATAATTTTTAGTCAAAATAACTTAAACAACTGCCAACGTTCACAGTGTAAAATGGATATGAGTCTATGGCCCACTAGTAAATTTTCATTATCAAATTATAATTTCTCAACACTAAGCGCTTTAAAAAA